AATCAGGGCGAGCCAGTGGCTGCTGCCTTTATTAAACCCAGTCTGGGGTGCCCACATGCTGAGAACGCTCACACACACACACACACACACACATTCACATGAACACACACTCCCTCCTCCAGGCTACATGTCTGGAGCTCAACCTGTATGGGGGACGAGTGCACACACACACACACACACCACTCGCCATCAGGGTTTATATGGGACCCCTACTGCTGCATTTCAATGAGTGGCAGTGCTCTTTTTCAACGCTGTTTTTACCGCTCTCTCCTTCACCTGCGGGCAAAGGCTAGCTGTGGCCTGTTGTGATACACAGCCGCCGGCTCTTATCATTGGACCACAGGTGTGAATTTAGAGGATAAATACTAGGGGTGTATCGATACTTGTATAAAAAATTTTTTGGGTAATTCGGTACAGTACACATGTGCACCAAACAAATACAGTATTGTTTTAACCACTGCACAAGTGAAACTTCATTGGAAACTTCCAGTTTTATATATTGCTACTTCTGATTAAAAACAAAGTCTCATCTTTCAAATTATGTCAATCTTTTTCAGGAAATTCAAACAATAAATGCCATTTTGACACTCTTTGGTGACAGATCGCTGTATAAACGCCTCAGTTCAAACGGCATCCCTTCCTCAGTACTAGTGGTTTTCTGTTATGACAGCCACTGTGTAAATGAATATATTTCAACAACAAATAGAAATTTTATAATTTAGATAATTTAAAAACTGCATTATGAGCAATTTACATGTTTGCATACAATTTGTTTTGCATACAAAAGTTGAGTGTTGATTATTATATTTAAAAATAAATAGTAATTGTATTTAAGTTTGTTCTCTGTTGTTAATTGTAACCTTATAATATAAAAGGGTTCACTATAGTTAAGAGCATAAGTTAAAATGTTTTAATTATAATAAAATTTATTTTAAAAAATACCAATTTGTTCAGTAAACCACTGTTTAATAAAAAAGCGATTTTAATTAATTTTTTCCCCCCTGCTGTACCAAAACCATACCGAACCATGATGTCAAAACCGAGGTACCGAACCGGCATACTTGTGTACAGTTACACCAACGTTTAAATGTAGAGATGCCACATAAATCAATCAGAAAGATGAAAAATGAGAAAGAGTCACCCCCATGACATGCTATGTAGTTGCTAAGGTGTTCAAGTTGGTTTGTGTTGCAATATAGCTGCTATGGTGTTCCGAGTAGTTTCCAGGGTGTTGGTATGTGGTTGCCAGGTTATTATTATATGGCTGCTATGGTTCTCAGCATTTTTGTGGTTGTTAGGGTATTTTGTGTGGTTTCTAGGGCACTGCTACTGTATGCATTTCTTGGCTGGCCTGGGTGATTTGTAAAATGTTATGTGGTTGTTTTGGATGTTTTTATAGCACTGCTATACTGATCTGGGTGGTTGATTGGACATTGCTACTGTATGCAGTTGCTAGGCTGGTCAGGGTGTTTTTCTTTTTTTTTATATCAATGCTAAGGTGTTCTGGGTGGTTGCTAAGTCTCTATGAAATAATGTTCAAAAGAAACTGAGATTTGAGCAGCCCTGAGCAATAAAACAGCCTTAGCAAGCACCGCTAACGAGTATTAGATTAATTCACAGACTTGTGCAGATCCTGCTAACACGAACACACACGTTCAATCTTCAGACAGTCAGTCTGTGAAGTTCAGAACACTCTGCACCCTGGAGACACAAGACAGGATGAAACGGAATAAAACCGTTTAAAATTGAAATCTACAGTTTTAAATTGAGGAACAAAATCTTACTCAGATATAAATGAGCCCTCAGAGATTTCCTTTGAGTATTATTTACCATAACCTGCCAGTAACAATCTAAAATATACATCCTTGTGATCAGGACCGACTCGCTCTCAGGATGAATCTATGGCTCAGACATGACGATGACTAGAAATCTCAGCACCATTACTAGAAGAGAGAGAGTCATTAAGATGTTGGGCACCAATTCCACCAAATGACTGCAAGAGCTTCCCAACAGCGAATGTAAACAGAATTTATGGTGCATTACAGAGGCTGGGGTGAACTGGCTCACCATTTTCTCTCTGGCTGTCAAATTAAAAGCACTCCTGTTGGGACTGATATGCGCTGCTGCTACTGCTGGGTCTACTAAAGCTGTTCTCTAACTCTTTCCTTTTCCTTTTCTTCTTTTCTGTTTGGCATTCCATCTTTTTCCCTCTATCTCTCTCTCTCTTCCGTCAGTCCAAGACACTCCTGATCCACTGGAGCTCAATGAAGACAGCATGACTGTGCACCATGAGACCGAAATCCAGTATCAATGCAAATCCACTCAGCACCCGCCAATCTGAGTCACGGCGAGAAGGGGAAAACACATATAAACCCATTCAGACATTTCAATACCTTAATATAAGCACACCTTCGGGGGTCTGAATGTTATACATAAATACATCAAATACATCAAAAGACGGAGGATGAGAGGCGCAAAGCATCAGGATACAATTCTGTACACACAAAACCGCTTTGTCTAAATTTGAAGGATTTATTATGGATTATAATGGACACAAATTCCAAATATATTGGCTACATTGGATTTGCTTGTAGTAAAAGTCTTATTTATTTCATTTTGATATTATAATAATTAGAGATTTGCCTTAAGAATGGAGGATTGAAAAACATTTTAAAAGCTTGACTTTGCTAGGTTTCTTTATTCAGTTCACTCATCAAACTCTTCCAGTCTGAGCTTCCTTTCCATTTCACTCTTATCATTGTGGAATAGTGCTGAATTTTACACCCTCAGGAACTTCTTTGGATACATATTACAATTTCATCTCCTGGATGCTGGATTTTATTGGACCTAATTTTGGATATGTCGCAAGTACCCCACAGGAAAGAGACCCCCTGCCATGCTTCTAATAAGAACAGAATGTCTCGGATGCTTTAAAAGAGAGTGCAGTAACTCGTTAAGATAATTACTGTATTGCACATTTATTCCACTGTTAATAATTAAGCAACGCACGCCAGAGCATAGACTCCACAACTCAAACTCGCAATACTGGCAATTAGAGAAATGAAAGGTGCAGAAATAAACACTAACCTTCCAAATTGAATCAAAACAATACACTATAAACAAACAGATACACACACAAAAATCTGCTCTGTTAAATACCCACAATAGTTTTGGAGGTGAGATACCGTGTTGCTCTTTACTCTACATAACAAATGCAGAGCAAATCTACTGTAAAAACAAATCCCACTAACATTTGAGGTTGGAAAGATATTTTAATGCTCACCAAGGATGCATTTATACTGTATGATCAAGAAAAAAAATAGAGTGAATGTTGTGAAATATTATTACAATTTAAAATAACTGTTTTCTATTTAAACATATTTTAAAATGTAATTCATTTCTGGGAGAGCAAAGGTGAATTTTCAGCAGCCATTGCTCTAGTCTTCAGTGTCACATGATCTTCAGAAATCATTCTAATATGCATTTTTCAAGAAATATTATTATCAATACTGAAGACAGTTGTGTAGTAGAAAGTAATAGAAAGTAAAAACAAAACAAACAAAAAAACAACAGCATTTTTTAATATTGTAAATGTTATAATGTAAATGTTTTATTGTCGATTCTGATCAATTTAATGCATTTAATGAAATTATTAATTTATTTAAAGGGGTGGTTCACCGGTAATGCTTCGTTTTTTTTTAAAACACATTATTTTTCACATAATTTACCTTTATTCCACACCGCTCTGTCCCTTCTCTGAGAAACACGCTGATCATTTCCTTCTTTTATGAAGCCCCACCCTCAGAAATAGGCGATGTGCTCTGATTGGTTTGATGAGGGGGAAGTAGGAGCAGACACTGTGTTTGTGTGTAGTGTGAATGTAGGCTGAGTCTAGGCTTTTTTTAACACCGCCTGCAGGCCGCCTCCGGCTGGCTGCTCACATCAAAGGCAGCGTTCTCTCTCTGAGGAGCTGAGAGACTGAGCCCCAGGCCTGCCCAGGCCTTCACAGACCTGCCTCAAGGGTTAGCGTGAAACCACGGGCCTCTGCCACGCCGCCGCGAGACACCGCTAATCATAGCCATTGCTGCAGCCGGTTGAACGAGCCCTCGCGGACGATGCTACGATATGCATGCGGCTCGCAAACAGCCGCGCTGTAATCAACCGGGGAGGGGAGGTTTGGGAATGAGGCTTTAAGTATTTAAAGTGTCAGTGTGCCATGTATTATTTACTTCATGAATAAACAAGGAAAATATGACTTATGCAGGCATGTTGCTATCCAAATCAAGCGTCAAGTCTGTATGCTTGTATTTAGATCAATATGTTATGAGGGTTTCAAATAACTATAAAACTGCATTATTTATTTCTGATGGAACAATGGTGTACAGGTACCTACATAATATTCACTGGGAAAATATGAAGGAACACAAAACTTTCATACTTTGGCATATATATATACACACTACTGTTCCAAAGTTAATTTTTGTATTTATTTTTATCATTTTACTTTCCATTCATCAATGAATCCTGCATGTAAAATATATCAGGTTTCCTCTAAAATATTAAGCAGTACAATTATTTTCAACACTAATAATAATAAGAAAAAATCTGCAAATTAAAATTATATCTGAAAGGTTCAAGTGACACAGAAGACTAGAGTATTTAGTGCTGAAAATTGAGCTTAATATATTCTCTTGTGCTCTCCAGACTTGGAGAGCACAAGAGAATTCTTTCAAACATTAAACATTAAAAAACTAAATATTACAGACCCTAAACTTTTGAATGGCAATGTATTTTTGTTTATGCATTTCTACTTTTCCAGTAAGCAACCATCTTGCAGTGCCCTAGTGACCAACCAGAACACCTTAGCAACCACACAGCATCCTTGCATAATTTTTTGCATTTATAAGCACTGCTCACATTTTCTTCAGAGTAAGTACAAATCTAGATTTACTTATAAATGATGTCCTTAATAAGAAGCTGCATTAGTGCATAATACTCACCTGTAAACGGCTCGTTTGTCTGACTCCAGTTGGGCTTGGGGGTCAAGGGTCACGCTGACCTGTGTGGCCCCTGCCGCTGAGGCTGCAGAGAGGTGGACATGCTGAGCCTTTGAGTTTTGCTGCGTAGTGCCTGTCATCTGAAGAAATACAGAATACAAAATAACTATAGATCTGCAGTCTAGACCATATTGCACAAAAATATTTAAATAGACTACTTTAACAATACTTTTTTGTCCATTTTGTAGCTTGATTTATCCATCTACTAGCATTAATTGCTTATATATTAAATATCATTGTAGCATTCATGGATAATCCAGTGATTCAAATATTCTAGAAATGAAAGATACTTCATCATAATCATTTGTGATTATTTTCTGTTTTATTTGAAACTTGATGGACAATAACTAAAATAATAAGAACCAGGGGTTGACCAATATGTTTTTCAGAGCCGATACTGATACCGATTATTACATATCAAGTTGACCGATAACTGATATTTTGACCGATGTATGGTGTCTGGTGTAAAAATGAAAATGAATGTCAAAATTAAGAATAACAGGGGCTCTGACAATTATTTTCTTAAAATGCTTTTAAATTATTGTATCTACAAATTGGTTTTAAAAATGACCGATACCGATGTCCATAAAAATGCTTAATATCGGTGCCGATAAATCGGTCAACACCTAATAAGAACATTACACAGTAGTTTCGTAGAAAAGTTATGATTTCAAATTCAACTGAACTTTGCATTTCTTGGCAACCATAAACAATATTTTCTTATATGTTCAATGGATGACCAAAAAAAACATAACACAGGTTTGCTAGATCATTAGAGTGAGTAAATGAAGATCATTTTCCTATTTAAAACTATTAAACTATTATTTTCAGATCATTATTAACAATGTTGAACACCAATGAGATTCTCTCTCTTTTTTATCAAATGAATTGTTTCCGTCCCAGAATTTTTTTTATTTTTTTTTTATTTAAAAACAGCTATAATTGTTGACAGATAACTGAAGCAAAAAAAATGTTTGGAGACAGCGCAACCCATCCTGCTTTTACCCCCTCTGCGCCAGTGGGCCAAAGATGCAGTTCAAGATCATCTTGCTCATGTGCAAGTTATTGATGGCTCACAGCTAGGCACTGTCGTCTTATCAGATTTAGTTTATGAACGCTTCACTTTTGTGTTCTTTAATGGGTTACAATGCTTTTTTTAAGGAGCTATAAGAGAGGAAATGTGCGCATAGTAATCTGGTTTGTTATCTATTCCGCGACAGAGGGAAAACGGCACACGTCCAGATAAAGTTCTAGAAAAACTTGAGTCAAAAGCTAGCAAGGAAACATGTATTTTTCCCCCAGCATACATATTCAGGAAGGCTCTTCCACTGTCTCTGACAATGCAAGACAATGCAGCATACGGTCTCATTAAAATCTGGAATCTAAATTGAGGCACTTGACCCCTAAAATTGTACATAGGTCACCTTCTGCAGGAAAACATTCCACCTAGTCATCAAATAAAACTCTGGCAGTCGAGGTGGGCAGAGGTCTCACCCTTCAGCAATCGAAACACTGTCAAGATGAACAAATTCCCTGTTTAGGATGCATTAGTGGGAGAGAGAGTACAACTTGTCTGTTGTCTATGCTTCCCTGTCTCTCCTGCCATGTTTTTCTCTCTTGTGATGCTGCGTTGAAAGAGCCCCCTCCTGTCTCACTCCCCAGAACAAAAATAGTTTAAGGGAGGAAGCTTAATCCCAGCCTCAAATAGGAAATAAATTAGGTTCTTCACACTTAACTAGCTCTCATTTGCATGTTTCCACCAGCGCTCTGCTCTTCTCCCCAACCTCTAATCCTTAGGGTGGAGGGAGACAGCAGCTGGACAGGGAGAGGGGGCTCTGGGACAAAAACGCTGCTCTGTGCCCCTCTGATAAACTCAGGACAAGCACAATGAAGATATGAAATTGTACAGAACTACAGATGTACCTTTCTGACAGCCACAATTTGAGACAAAGCCACAGTTTACTGTAATAACCTTGCTGAAAAAGAAATAAAGCTTAAACACTATACATTTTTTTTCTTTTTCTTATTTATTTGTTATGCAACTACTGAGGTAAGTGAATGTATTTTTATCTTTCTAATGAACAGTAATATTACAATAATAATCAGTATTATAATCAATAAAAAAAACCTGTTTGTTCGTTAACGGACCTGTTGGCTCTCCTGGTACGATGGTGGAGGGACGCTCTGTGTGGCCATCATGGTCAATGCTGGTGCTGGGGACACATGTTGCATCATGGGATAGCTTCACATGGAGATCCTGACGGAAACAAAACAGTTACACGAAAAATTATTTACAGTCCTGTTTCATGACCAAATTCATATCTACTGGCCTACTTACCAGAAGGAAAATAATTGTGCTTTCTATCTTTTATAGCAGATCGCATAATTTTAATTGATAACACTGATGAAAATATATAAATAAATATATCCTTGCAGCTTTCCTCAGTTCTTCACTGAAACAATTCCACGACACACCACCAGGTGCTGCTGTACTTAAACTCACGAAAAAAACTTTCATACAATGTTGTAGTTAGATCAAATAAAATAAAATAAAAAATCTTTATGAGGCCAGGGAACACATCAAGGTCTGCATTTGTAATTTGTAGTCCTATGGATTACAAACCTTAAGGCAAACATTTTAAATATAAAATACCCAGAGTGTCCATTTAATGCAATTCTGTACACAAAAGTTCATACATAATACTAGAATTTACAAATTACAATGTGTGACAATCTAACACATCGCCGACAACCCAGTAAAAACTGTTCAGAAAACCAAATAAGCACCTTGAGGTGCAGGTACATGATGATGAGATTTGATGAGAGTTTTCTAAGGTAAACATGACAACCCCAGCAGGCCAATCAGGGGCTCATTAGTTCTGTTGTCAGAAGAGTAATTGACACTGGGCAAGGGAAGGGTGGACTCCAGAGACGGTGCACTGTGGGAAACCCTGACTACAGATAATTGGCCCCATGTTACTGCACATGGACCCCTGAACCCCATTTCTAAGTGAAGCTTTATCAAGTACAAATGATCTGTACTCTTTGCTCACATTTTGAAATGTCATAAAATGTGCACTTTTTTTTTTTTAAAGAAAGGTTTTCTTGAATTCTTAAATAAATAAATGCAACACTAGCTTTCTTATTTCTTTTCAAGTTATATATGCTCTTACCAAGTCTATTACCACAAACATCTTTGAATGTTTAGGTATTGTCTCTCCCATATTGATTTTCCAATCAGTCTGAGTGCATTCAAAATAAGATTTAGTGCCAACCAAACAAAAGAAGACATCTGTAAGCATATAAAACTATATTCAACTTGCGGAGTCTTTTGTAAAAGTTTCATTACAGAACCTCATTGAAATCACTCCCAAATTAAAATGATAATTTCAGACAGTTTGACCCCCCAAAACACGGTCTTTAGTCCACCATTGAGCTAAACTGTTCAGAAAACCAAATAAGCACCTTGAGGTGCAGGTACATGATGATGAGATAGTGTTTTCTAAGGTAAACATGACAACCCCAGCAGGCCAATCAGGGGCTCATTAGTTCTGTTGTCAGAAGAGTAATTGACACTGGGCAAGGGAAGGGTGGACTCCAGAGACGGTGCACTGTGGGAAACCCTGACTACAGATAATTGGCCCCATGTTACTGCACATGGACCCCTGAACCCCATTTCTAAGTGAAGCTTTATCAAGTACAAATGATCTGTACTCTTTGCTCACATTTTGAAATGTCATAAAATGTGCACTTTTTTTTTTTTAAAGAAAGGTTTTCTTGAATTCTTAAATAAATAAATGCAACACTAGCTTTCTTATTTCTTTTCAAGTTATATATGCTCTTACCAAGTCTATTACCACAAACATCTTTGAATGTTTAGGTATTGTCTCTCCCATATTGATTTTCCAATCAGTCTGAGTGCATTCAAAATAAGATTTAGTGCCAACCAAACAAAAGAAGACATCTGTAAGCATATAAAACTATATTCAACTTGCGGAGTCTTTTGTAAAATTTTCATTACAGAACCTCATTGAAATCACTCCCAAATTAAAATGATAATTTCAGACAGTTTGACCCCCCAAAACACGGTCTTTAGTCCACCATTGAGCTCCAGGCTTTTAGTAGCAGCCCACAGATGTAAGAAGCAGAAGCTAACAATTGTAAAGAATACTAAAAATACATAAGCAATCATATATAATTACTCTGAAAGAACAGTACAATCACATCTGCCGAGTTAATGTGGGTGGGACCTCTACTCCGCTCGGTAATTACACGAGACATAAATCACTCATTTAAAACGTGACCTATAAAGTTCTTTCTGCGCTTTAGTAGTAGTAATTTTCTCTCTTGAGAATAGCTTGTTAGATCAGTCTATATCTTAGCTTGAAATCAGTCATCGAATCGTGTTTATGCACATTTTCCAATTGTTTGCATCAATCAAAGTTTGCAGCAATAATTCTGTGGACAGCAGAACAAGAGGATTGTCAAGAGGATTGTGGGAAAATCAAGGAGACACAGAGCAGGATTCAGTACAGAAGCCAAGTCTTTCAGATGGCGGACAGGATGTAACCTTCCTCAGACAGCAGACAGACAACAGTTCAAGCAGGAAAACAGGAAAGATCATTTTTTCCCTTGCAGCTCATCTTCAGGTTGGCAGGAGTGGGTGGAAAATGGTTGAAGGGGCCAAGACAAACCAAACAGCTATTTTAAGGAGATCTCGCACACACACACACACACACACACACACACGACCTATAAAGTTCTTTCTGCGCTTTAGTAGTAGTAATTTTCTCTCTTGAGAATAGCTTGTTAGATCAGTCTATATCTTAGCTTGAAATCAGTCATCGAATCGTGTTTATGCACATTTTCCAATTGTTTGCATCAATCAAAGTTTGCAGCAATAATTCTGTGGACAGCAGAACAAGAGGATTGTCAAGAGGATTGTGGGAAAATCAAGGAGACACAGAGCAGGATTCAGTACAGAAGCCAAGTCTTTCAGACGGCGGACAGGATGTAACCTTCCTCAGACAGCAGACAGACAACAGTTCAAGCAGGAAAACAGGAAAGATCATTTTTTTCCCTTGCAGCTCATCTTCAGGTTGGCAGGAGTGGGTGGAAAATGGTTGAAGGGGCCAAGACAAACCAAACAGCTATTTTAAGGAGATCTCGCACACACACACACACACACACACACACGGTTTTGGGTTATCATGATCATAAACACCATCAGCACCTCTGTGCGTTTCATGTTGGACTTCGTGGAAACATGAGGAATTTTCCAAGCACAAATTAGATTCTGGCTTGGCGTTGCATATTTTATGAAGCTCGTCCAAATCATACAAATTGAGAATGTTGTGTGTGTGTGATTTGTATACTGATTACACACAACGCCTGTGTTCTCATTCCAAGTGCTATCAGCCGAAAGGCATCTTCGCTGTTATCACGCCTCATTTTAATTGCAAATTTTGTGTGCGAGTTGGTAATTAAATGGAAAATTGCACATTAATTGATGAGACTAAAGATAAAGCAATTCCAATTATTGCGCGTTATTTTAAGGGGGCCTCTCAAGTCTCGGTCCCTGAAGTGGCGTGGTACCCACAGCAGCATCATAATAATAATGCATTCACACCGTGTACACTGGGTAACAGCTCTATCCACAAACCTGTGTTTACAAACATGGACACACACACACACACGTACTTTATAATGAGCAAAGAAACCTCCGAAGTCTCGGTGGGTGAAAGGCGTGCACTGATTAAGCCTTCCGGCTTGCTCTTTAAAACACATCATCACACCTTCTGACTTAACATACCGGGTATTGATTTCAAAGCATCGGGTAATGCAAACACATCGATCCGTTCATTGATATACAGTCGGAAATTCTTTCTCTGCAGGGCTCGCAAAATTTCTTCAGATTTTGGTAGCCCAAAATGAATTTAAGTAGCCAGAATAAAAGAGAAAAAAAAGACATCGGTTGAACTTCACTGCGGACAAATCAGCATGATTAAAAACTTCAGTGATCACTTTTTTTTCTTCAAATAGCAAGTCAAGAGAGTAGGGTGGCAACGGATCACAAAACCCATGGCTTGGATCATATTGCATTATCATATCAGATTATGAATAACAGATCGGGTCATTTTGCAGATGAGTAAAAAAAATAAAAAATAAATGGTTCTTTATTATTTAAATAACAGAATACTTCTTTGATACCACAGCAAAAACTAGTAGCATATAGGGATGTAATGATTCACTCAACTCACGATGCGATGCACGATACTGATTTCACAATACAATTTTCTCACAATTTTTCTTTTTAACAAAATGAGATTTAAGACAAATTATAAATGAAAAGGTGTCCTTTTATTATTTCTCCAACAAAATGCTGCACATTTCTTTGTGAAATTGAAATATGTCAAATAATAAAACTAACTTGAAATTTTAAAACAAATCCCAAATCAAATAATTAAATAATACAAATCAAATAAATCTCTTCACAAACTAATGCTTTGGCTGTGGAGGCAACCACTGCATTTTAATCACGATCCAAACAAAGATGCTAAATACATGTTATTTAGATTGCAATTAGATTGTATAATTTCGAAATTTGAAGCAAAAACAGAATGGTCTGATTTTAGCTTTGTGAATGAGACGCAAATATCACTCTCTGACAGCAGGTGGCACTTATGGAACAGCAGGTATTTATAGCTGCTGCGCCTTTAAGACCGAATGCACGGATCCAATATAAGACAGTTATTTTGAGATAATTTTGTGTGTATGTGTTCATTCAGATGCAAGGATACCCGAAAGATGAATCAATTCTGTGTACGCAAATTGTCTGAAACACGGCTCTCTGTGCGCGCTTTGAATCTACAGTAAATTTAGTCAGGCTAAAATCGAATGGGTTTAGTTACAGTGTAATCCATTTATTAAGCATTCTCTAAAATGTCCAAACTCATTATATAGGTTTGATATTAAGGCTTTATCATGATAGACACCAATTTAACTGCAGTGACACACAACATGCCTTTATGTTAAAATTAAATAAAACCACTTCTCATAAAGAACAAGAACATGGTCTTCTTTTTAATGAAATACCAATGGTTATATAGGCTAATTATGCATTATTTATAGCAACTTGTTTACCATATTCTTCATTCTTTCAAGCAGACATATTTATTTCTATGAATACATTTAGGGTTACAAAAGTTTTTCAGTCAAGAGGAGTGCGTGATTTTCTGTCTTTCTTTTGTTGCTTGA